AAGTCTAGAATGAAACTATGTTAGGAAACTAGAAATGATGAAAAGGACTCAAATATATTTTTTAGGAATGAGAAAATACAACCAGAGAATTTAAGAATTCAAAGACTGGATTTATTAGTAGATCTGTCAGAGATCAGGAAGGAACTGTAAATTAGAAGAAAGGTCATATACAGAACAGAGCACAGAGAGGCAAAAAGAGGGAGCATATCAAAGAGAGCAAGACATACAGGGACACTATGAGTAAATTTAAAGTAAGATCACTAGAGAAAAAGTAGAGTAGAAAAAACAGAGACAATATTTTTTGAGTTAATGGCTTAAATCTTCCTGAAATTGACAAGGAACAATAAGAATCAAGAAAAGAGGTCCTCAGAATACTAAGCAGCTACATAGAAATACGCACGCATTTTGCCCATGTTAATTAAACTTGAGAAAACCAAGGAAAATATTATTTAACATAGAAGATTACCTTCCAAGAAACAGCAATTAGACTGAGAGCTGATTTCCAAATAGTAACAATATTCACTAGAAGGAATATTTTCAATGTACAGAAACAGAATAAGAGTTAATTTAGAATTTTGTACTCAGTAATTATATCCTTCAAAAATGAAATTGAAATAAAAATATTTAGACAGAAGCAGAGACAATTCCAAGATAACATTACATTAATGCAAATAATTTTCTTAGGCCATAGAAAAAGTTCCCAGATGGAAAATTAAAGAAGAAATTAAGAATAATGAAAATAGAAAATCCCCAGTATTCACTTCAAAACGATAAAAATGTCTGTTACCTTAATGTATATGTGGAATGAATAATAACAAATACAGGTTGGGAAAAGTAAATAAAATAAAATGTTTCAATTTCCTTTATTATTCAATATTAGAAGTTATACTCTATAGGCAAATAGAAGAGATAGGGAAAGTTGGATTGTAAATATAACTCAGTAAAGAAAGGTGGTCTCTTTCATAAATGCCTTTAGATGAATAGCTGTTCATATTAAAAACAAACACAAGAAACCTTATTCCCAATAAAACTCAATGACATGTTTGACAGTCCAGTAAGTAAAGTATTGAATGCAGTCGACACAGTTCCTTGAGCACTGTGAGGAGTGATCTCTGAATACAGAGCCAAGAGCAGTACATAAGCACCACTGAATGTGACCCAAAATTCAATAATAAAAACAAAAAAAACCCACTCAATTACAGGCAGAGTATATACTGTAGCACTGTAGTACTGTCCTCTCGTTGTTCATTGATTTGCTCAAGTGGGCACCAATAATGCCTCCATTGTGAGAGTTGTGACTGTTTTTGGCATATCAAATACTCCATGGGGAGCTTGCCAGGCTCTATCATGCAGACGGGATACTCTCAGTAGGTTGCTGGGCTTTCCGAGAGAGATGGAGGAATCGAACCTGGGTCGGCTGTGTGCAAGGCAAACGTCTTACCCACTGAGCTATCGTCCAGCCCAGTGGCATAATAGGTTAGCACGTGGTACTTATATAGCAGTATGTGCAGATTATATACTAAAAAAGAAAAAATAATAGTAATTTAAGAAGATAATTTAGAAGACCTCTGGATAGGTAAAAATTTTTGAAATATGGACACAAAGCATAACAATATCAAAAATTAGAAAAATTGCTACACTGAAATTGTAGTTCAAGGGCTACACTGAAATGAGAAAACTTTTTCTATTAAAATGCAACATAAAGAGAAAAAAGGCGATGGGGCTCAAAGGATTGTACCAGGAAGTCAGAAGGAAAAAAGACAAGTGCGTTCAGTTATATGTAAGGATACTGAATTGAATGGAGGAAGCAAAATACAAAGATCAATACCAGTGGGCATTGATAGTAGAACTCAGGTTACTGAGGTAAGAAGTATACCCACTGTGCTCTCACTCCAGCCCCTAATTACTCTTTTTACCTGAGATCTCCTATGTTAGTTTCATTCCCCATTTATAGCAATAATGCATTCATTAACTCTAGTGATAACACATTAAAATGGAAATGTGTATCATTTTTGGGCATCTATTCAACTTCGATCTATTTCCAACTCCAGGGAGATTTGCAAGTTTTATAGGCAGTTATTATAATAGATCAGGTTTGATTTAAAAATCTGACTTGAGAATATATATTGAAAAACAAACACTTTGAAACACAACCGCATCTCTAAAGGTAAGCTTTCAACATTTGCGGAACAGAGGAGGAACTATATTGTTTTCAGTGACCACAAAGGAAAGGAAATCAATCAGAATAGACATTTCCAAGTGACATTTTTTGAAAGATTCCTTACCCTGTGTCCTCAGAGATATTTGTAAATCATTGTAATCAAATATAAGATGTATATCCTCACCAAAGTAAAGACAAATTGACATAAGGACATATGCCAATATGTCACAAAAAATTCTCTATTTTAGCATCAAATTTTGAGGCGCTCTCTCTCTCTTCACTGTAGAATAGAAGGTCTCTCTGTAGGGTAGGGGATCTCACGGTAGGGTAGGGGTCTCACAGTAGGGTAGGGGTCTCATGGTAGGGTAGGGGTCTCATGGTAGGGTAGGGGTCTCACTGTAGGCTAGGGGGTCTCACTGTAGAGTAGGGGGCCTCACTGTAGGGTAGGGAGTCTCACAGCAGGGTGGGGGTTCTCATTGTAGGCTAGGACAGTCTCACTGTAAGGTACATCAATATGGAGGGTTACAGGTGGCACAAGTTTATGACCTGTCACTGAAAAAAATTTATACATATATAGTATATATGTATAGATGTATATATGTATATATACATAGCTTGGCAGGCTCCCTGTGATGTATTTGATATGCCAAAAAAAGTAACAGCAAGTCTCACAATGGAGACGTTAACTGGTGCCCACTTGAGCAAATAGATGAACAACGAAAGGACAGTGTTACAGAGTTACAGTTATATATTGTGTATATATATATATATATATATATATGTATATAATATATATAGAGAGAGAGACAGAGAAAGAAGATGAGTGAAGTGAAAAAATGGGAGAGAGAAACTTTTTGGGGTGTGGTCCCAGGTGGACACTATGGGTCTCTGCCAAGGCTTGAATAGAACCCTTCCCTGGGAAAGTCTAAGTGGGATTTTAAGTTGTCTTGGGTGGGAAATAAAGAATAAAGGGAACAGACATCAGTGAAATGGGTGTGCTTGGTTCGGCCTTCTGTCATCTGTAGCGGGTTGAGGTAGGGAAGTATGGAATTCAGCCTGGGAGCTGCCTGGCGCCAGTGGGCCATAAGTCCTGTCCTCTGCGCTAGGGGGCAGGTTGGTCTTTGATTCTGGGATTGTCACTATCTCAACCTTTCAGCATTTGGTTCCAGCAAACCTTACGGGATCAAACCCAGGAATTGTCAAAGAAGTCAAGTGATCTAATGCTGGGCCACATCTCAGGCCTCATCTCCTGAAGCTTCTGTGTTTTTTTTTTGATATGTGCTGCTCATTTCACTTACATGCTGGCAATTGTAATAAAAATCAAGATTTCTTATAAGAAAAGCTAGAGTTCTTGAGGACTATATTCTGTTAACAAGTCGTGCTTTAATTATTCTATTCGGAAGTGGTTTTGACATATACTAAAATTCTGGTTCCTTCAATTACTGACATAAATCCTACACTACAGATTTAACTTGAAATTAGAAAAGCCTGATTACTTTTTTGTTTGTGTGTGTGCGTGTGGAGGGGGGTGCACACCCAGTGCTCAAAACTTACTCCTGTCTCTGTGGTGAGGAATCACTCCTGGCAGGGCTCAGGGACTTTATGGGATGTTGGGGATGGAATCCCAGTTGGCCATGTGCAAGGCAAGCACCCCACGTGCTGTAGTATCTCTTCAGCCCCTGGGCTTGTTTCTTCTGTTGAGATTTTTTTTGTCATCCCAGAACTTATAAATATGAAAATGTAGGTATAGTTTTAATACCTATATATATTGAGCTCTACCAGGAGGACCTGATGATATTAGTGTCAGAAAATTTAGCTTCTTTAAACAAAATCAACATGAAGGAAAATATATGTCACCCACACTGCCCCCAAGGATTGATGGTCTCCTCAGAGAAGACACCATGCCTCTTCTGCTCTGAGCCTCACAATAACCTGGCAAGATGGCCACTGTCAGCACCTTTTTTTTTCTTTTTGGGTAACACCCGGCGATGTTCAGGGGTTAGTCCTGGCTCATGCACTCAGGAACTGCTCCTGGCAGTGGTTGGGGGACCATATGGGATGCTGGGAATTGAACCCGGGTCGGCAAGGCAAACGCCCTACCCACTGTACTATCGCTCCAACCCTGTCAGCACCTTTTTAAGAGGAAAGGAAGCTGAAGCTCCAAGAGGCTATTCCATCCCTCAGACCATACGATGAACCACATGACAACAAACAAACAAACACTGTCCTCCCATTGTTCATCGATTTTGCTCCAGTGGGCCCAGTAGCATCTCCATTTTTGAGACTTGTTGTTACTGTGCTTGGCATACTGAATACGTCACGGGGAGCTTCCCAGGCTTTGCCGTGTGGGAGAGGTACTCTCGGTAGCTTGCTGAGCTCTCTGAGAGGGGTGGAAGAATTGAACCCGGCTCAGCAGAGCGTGCAAGGCATACACCCTACCACTGTGTGAATGACTGTACAAAAGCAAAAGGCAGGTCGCCACAGTTATATGACAAATGCCTGGTTTTCAGGGCTTCCACAGCTCTGTCTGGGCTGTATATTGACTTTGAAAGACCCAGTCAGTGTGTCTAAGTAAGGATGGGACATTTACTCTCCTGAATGAGAGGGAAAGCTAAATCTACAGGACCCAAAGGGGAACTTGGACGTGAGCAGAAAGTAAACATTTCCTGAGGAAGAGTCGATAGTGAGTTATGGGAGTGGATGAGGCAGAGTCTGCTTCCTAGTGGGATTTTCCTTTCATGCCGGCAAAGGGGAACTGCAGAGGGAGCGATGGGTCAGGCTCTGGGGGCTCTGTGGGAACTGAACTGACGGAAATTCAATGTGAGATCCACGCTCCTACCTTCTGATTTATTTTCATCGTTTCCTCAGTGTGGTAGAGAAGGAGCTTTTCCCCAGAAGAAGTCAGGTTCACATACACCTGCAGGCAGGGGTACTGAGAGAGTTTCCAGCAGTCTGGACCGCAGCTGAAGGAGCAATTAAATGTTTCTGTGATGGAAGCGTTCAGCAAAGTGCACTGAGTCTCCTCCGTCCAAACACTACAGAGAAGGGAGAGTAAACAGACGTGAAAACTCACAGCCAGGAAGGCAAAATCAGAGGGGAGTATCTGTCAGCAAGTTAGCTCAAGAATCTTTTTCAAATCTATAATGAAATTTACGTGTTGAAGTCTATGTGTTTGAATGGAGACACTTTAAACAAACTGTAATATAAACAGGCTCAGAATTTGCCTGGGAGCGGAGAACTTTTCCAAGTTTCATTAGCTGTAGCAGAATGTTCTCCAGTGCTTGATTTAACTTGGAATGTTTTCCTTATCAAATTCACTGGTAAGAATAAAGAATCATTTAATATCACAGCCTGCTCTCTGTATTTCTATGTAATGAGAAGCTTCCTGTCATGGCCCAGTGCTTATGTCTACCCTGTTTATAGGCAGAAGAGGTTTAGAAGATCAGAGAGAGGTGGAGACAAAGAGATGGAGAAATGGGGTCCAATTGGAGGGGAGCAGATAGTGATGTATTTCTTTCTATATGTTTTTCTCATATGGAGAGAAGATAAGCACAGACTTTGATTATGCCAAAAGCACCATTGAGCACTCTTTATTATAACTGTGCTCTACGTATGCAATTTTCTCTTATCATCCCAACAACCCTATGATTTGGATATCGATTCATTTTAAAGGTGTGTGAATTAAGAGTCAGAGAAATAGGGTAACATGTATGGAAATAGCTTATACATTATGGGAACTGTGATTTCACCAAATCATTTATTTCTTTAAAACCCAAGATCATTCCATGGTATTGCACTTTGTCCTGAGTAATACCATGGACAAGCATATTTGAGACTATATATCACATTATTCAATATTATTTCAATTAATTTTTTTTAAACTCAGAAGTTTTTACTTTCTAAGAGCCAAGAGGATCATGACGTAGTTTCTGTTTGATTTGTATGGTAAGGCAAAACTTGAAGTATAAAAACAATAGGAATAACATAATTAAGATGAAAAATTTGACAGTTACTCATAATTTTATTTATTCTTGATATGAATACCATTGGAATAATAGTCCCATACTTTTAGTCACACCACAATTATAACCTACTGGTTGAAAACTAGATTTCAAACAGTCTTCCATGTGATGTAAAATTTTTGTGATAGGACAAAATTAAAAGTGAGCTCTCTTCGTGTATTGTGCTGCCATCAGGTCAATCTGTACCTGTGAGGCGAGTGCATCAGCAGCCTAATGGTGCCTTCAGACTTCTAGATATCCCAAAATTGCTGCTGTGCCTTTGGCCAGATCCAAACAACTTGAGGCAAAGTTTACCAAGAAAGCAAATGGCCAAAAGTTAGGTATATGGGAGACACACACACAAACCACCCCTGGCTCAGCTATATAATTGGAGGCAAGGCCTCTCTGGTTCCTGACCAAATTGCTTAATGGCCGTAATCCCAGAGACTCAGAAACAAATCTCGGAACCCAGTGGCTTTTGGAAAAAATGCATCTGGTCCCCACAGTAGGTTACTGGTGACGGGCCACCCCAAAGGGGAAAGGGTGCTGTCCTCTGCCTGCTCCCCCTTGGTGGCTCAGTGGCCGTCATCCTCCTGAGGCCATTGGACAGTCAGGTTTGGGTCCACAGTGACAAGACACATGGGGCCTCATGGGATGGGCGTGGAACCGACCCTTTCCTCCCTGTCCCAATGAGACCCCAGGTTGCTGCCCACGAATGGCCTCTCTGGCTCCTGATCAAGCTGCTTAACGACCATGATCCCAGAGACTCAGGAACAAATCTCAGAACCCAGCAGGTTTTGGCAGAGATCCCTCCAGATTTAATTGTTAAAATTTTGGAATTCCAAAATTGCGTGGCCGCTATTGCGGCCATGCGTCATCATATGCTATTCATAATCAGCAATAGAAAACAAATTGTCTATGGTTGCCTTTTCGGCAGATCTGAGTGTTGGGGTAAAATCCCAAATAATAATGCTGGATCTGGTGTAGAAATATTGAATGTAATCAAAGTAGAGAGAGAGGGAGTAATGTTGAAATCATCTGCCCCACAGGTAGGGGGAGTGTGTGGGATGGGGCGTATACTGGGGTTTTTGGTGGTGGAGAATGGGCACTGGTGAAGAGACGGGTGTTTCATCATTGTATGACCGAGACTTAAACCTGAAAGCTTTGTAACTGCTCTCACGGTGATTCAATAAAAAAATTATAATAAGGAAAAAAAAGTAAGGTGGAGTTCATGCCCAATTCAATCAGCCTGATCAATGGCTGAATAAATAGCAATTACATTAAAAAAGTAAATAAATTTAAAAAAAGTGAGCTCTCCAAAATAAAGAAAAGGAGGGAAAGAAAAAGGAAGGAAGGGAGTGAGGGAAAGAGAAGAAGGATAAAGGAAGAAAAGAATGAGAAAGATTTGTCAATGCAGACATTAATGTGTTCATGTTAACACTCTTAGACATCTCAGCAAGAAAGATTAAAACACATGCACACACAAAATCTCACTTCCCAATGGTCAGCTTTTCATTCTAAATGGCTTATAATTTTATGATCAAGGGTAACGTTTGTGATTAAGAAGTAGCACCAGCAATTAATGTCTTGCTTCGCACATAAGCTGATCGCCACAGTAATTAGAAAGCAGCGTGTTTTCCTTGCAGCTGAATACCCCTTCCTTCCACTGGACGTGTACACACAGAAACCCCGTACCTCCTTCTCATGTCCAGTTCTAAGCCAGAACAATGATAGGAGCCCTGACCCTCTCTGTTGTGGCAAATTATATTTTCCTGAGGGGAAAAGAGATGGTTAGATTTTTGCTTCTAAACAGGAGGGGAAAAAATTCTGTAACAGTTTGAAGCAGATGTGAGGGGCTGAAAGTGGTGTTGGAATTAGCGAGCACTTGGGGCCGGAGGCATCAGCGCTTTCATTGAGAAGGAGCACAGCTGAAGGCAGCAAGACACAGAGCGGAGCCGCCACAAATGGGAAAGATGATGCCTTAATTTTAGCAAATTACTGTATTTCAGCAAGATTCTTGCTTCTAAAATGAAAGTATTAATTTAGGTGGAGAAATGAATGTCACAGAGTGGTTTGATTCTCTTGAATTGAAACCTCAATTTTTCATTTGTAAGGGCCTCGTATCTTTTTGCTGAAACTACTGTCAGATTTTCCCCATTAGTTAGAATGATGCTTGGCTCGCCTCTGCTCCAAGTGTCCAATTTATGGGCAACAGTTGGCGAGAGATGCTGCAGGGATTTATCATGTGACTGACTCAGGGGGAAAGACACTTACTATCTCACTATTTAATTGCTTTTCTAGCTCTTCAGTAAACCTAGGGCAAATACTAAATTGAAGAGGGTTCAACATTTGGTAGTTTTAAAAGTCGATATACAGAAGTCTTTCTCAGCCTTGATAGCTTGCTAGAATCACCTGTAGAGTTTGAAAAGCTACTGGTGTCTGGCCCCACTCCGGCTAACTGAGCTCAGAGCAGTGATGATGGTGGGGTCTGGGCATTCATACTTTATTCTTTTAGTTTCTCAGGAGATGAAAACATGTGAGAACCACTGATGAGTGGGATGGCAAATGGGAAAGGAATGGGGTTGGAGAATTGGTGAAGAGGCAAGGATCAGGACTCTGGAATTAGTGGACAGTGGATGTGAATCGTAGCTCTGTTAGACACGAAAGTTTTGTGCCACTGGAATGAATTATGTGATCATGAACCTCAATTTTGTCCGTTCTATAATGAATGTATTTATATCAACATCAGACAGCAGTTGTGAGAATTAAATACCGTGTGGAAAGTCTATTTACATAATAATAAGCAGTTCACACGTGGAAACATTTCTATCATTATTATTAGGTAATTGAAATTATGATGATATTGAATAATACCAGGCACAGCTCAGAGTTCTTCATGAAAAGAAAGTGGGGAAGAGGCCCTCAGCGTTGGTCGGCTGGTGAAGAGGGAGGAGAGGAGACAGGTGAGTGCCCGAGCGCTAAAGGCATTACCTCTGCATGTATGAGCGCAGGAGTGTGATTCCCAGCAGGAAGTACATCATGATGGAGCACACCATCATGGCCAGCCCCAGGAGAATGGCACGGTCCTCTCCTGCCTTCAGGGCTGTGACAGTTTTCCTTTTGTCCAGCAGGTCATGGTCCTTGATTTTTTGGTAAATATTTCTGTGGTTGAAAATAATAGAGTCTTACAAGAAGGTCACAGTTAAACAGCATGCCCCTCAGAGAAGGAGGTATGATCCTGCCTGAGCCTTTCTAACGCAGAGCCTTCACAACATGTTTGAGCGCAACTGAATTGATGCTTACATCACATACATATGCATACTGAGTGACAGAGAGAGACAAAGACAGAGAGACAGAGACGGAGACGAAAGACAGAGAGAGACAGAGACAGAGAGACAGAGAGACAGAGACAGAGAGACAATGAATACACTCCTGCTTGTGTGCACTCGCACCAAACAAACAAGTGCACAATACTGACAGAAACATTTTTTATTCTTCACTTGAATCCCATGTGTAACTAGTAATGCTTTCTCCTTACTTCCTAAATCTAAAGGAAAGAGAAAAATCCATTCAATCCTTAAATAGGGATTTGCTGCATTAGCTATATCTAACCTCCAACTGGTCACCTTTGATCTTTTATTCTCTCAGAGTATCTAAAAGAGCATTAATTCACATAAATAAAAAATATATTAGGAATCTATTCATTTAATCCCTATATTCCCATAGTAGTTATAGGCAACTTATTTTAGTTAAAATTTTTCTCAGCTTATGTCCTCACTTGACTTGAGATTGATAAGCAATGTGGCCTTTTTGTTTATTTGTGTAAACACTTGAGTGAGTCAAAAAACATGTCAGTCAAACAAAGGCCAGACATTACAACTTTGACTCATTTAATTAATTTGCATTTTTGTCTTTTTATTTTCAAGCAGCAACATATGTTCTGGAATGTGAGACCGGATTCAAAGTGAATATTATGCAGGAGAAATAGTATGGTGGGTCGGTTGCTTGCTTAGCATGTGGCAGACCCAGATTTCATCTCTAGCATCCCATATGACTCCCCAAGAATGCCAGTAGTGATTACTGAGTGCAGAGCCATAAGTTAGCCCTGGGACCACCAGATGTGGCTCCCAAACAGCCAAACAAATAAACTAAACGCTCAAATTGCATCTCAGGTTTAGAAACCAAATCACTGCTAACTAGCTGTGTGATCAGCTCTTTCGATTTCCAGTTTTCTAAAAAATGAAAAATCATGTTTAATTACATTGTAATGGTTAATTATAATTATATTATAATGAGATGAGAAATTAATTAGCATCATGGAGGAAATTATCTAATAGATGCTCCTATTGAAAATTGGAGTATGACGTTAAGGCTTCATGATCTGAGCATCTGAAGACCTCGAACCACTACTGCGTGCCAAATAGTTTCTGAAAGACACCATGACAAGGAAATGAATAGGGCATAAAGTTCGTGAGTAGAGGAGTATACTTTGAACAGGATCTCCTGGGGGATGCATTTAAGAAGAGAAATTATTGGGAGTACTAGAATCTTGAAGAGATTCACAAATACAAGAAGTCAGTCATTGCTCACATATTTTCACAAGGGTTGGACTCTCTTCTATTTTTCATTTCTAGAAGGGAAGCTTTCAATGGGAGTTGTTGGCCTTTAGAACTTGTCATGGAGAGAAGGGCACAGAGAGGACTGAAGATAGAGAAAAAAAAGTCAATGTCTTTTTTTTACCAGTTCTAGGCAAAAGGCCAATATACACAAGAATAACTTCAGAAGATCCTGTAGAATTTTCATCACTAATTTTCTGCTTAGAAAAGAAACCAAAATAGAGCACAGAGTGAAACTTTGTAGGGAGAGAAAAGAGGGCTATTTGTTCAGTTATGTGTATATTTAGGGCCTGTATTTCATATTGTGCACAGGGTGGGCATGCTGGTTGGGTGGTTCATCCTGGCCTTGTTGTTAAATATTTTGTATTGCTAAAAAAGGCAGGAAAATATGTATGTACTCAACATTCTTTAAAAAAAGTTTTAGGGAAAGAAACGAATGGGCTTATTGGAGTGTAAAATTAAACCAATTCGCTTATTATTTTAACGCTGGGGGTAGTTTGTGCAATTCTGTCCTTGAAGAGCAAGCTCAACAGAGTGGGAGAATTGCAGCTAAACAGCAGGCTTTGTGCTTCCTCTTTTTATGACTTTGTTCTTTCTGACTCCTTTTCACTCTGACTCTTGGCTCCTCACCATTCTCATGGCTAAAGCCCTGTGAATCCGGCACGATTGTTGCTCTCCAACAGCCATGACTAATAGTTCTGCATTCACCGGCTTATCCTGTTTTTGACTTTTTCTGGCTGCCCACATCCATCCTGTTTCCCTGCTCTTTTGGAAAACAAACAAGTCAAACGTGGGATTTGTAATAAAGCTTTGGACTGGACCAATTATTAACTTGGATAAAATAATAACAACAATAGAAAAAACAAGTGGTGTCCATTAGTGGTAAAAAAGGGTCAGTGCCAGGGGAAGCCTGAATGCGAATGGTTTCAGAGACATGTAAAATAATAATGTGCTGTTATCTTGCTATTATTTTTCTTCGTATGAATTTCATTCTGATGGCTGCCATGGGGCTTTGCATTTCCTTTGGGTAGAAAACAGCAAGGAAGAGCAACAGTCTCACAGTTCTATTGTTAGGCTGACAGAGAGCATCACTTATGTCTGTCTATACCTATTAGAAAGAGGCAGAGTAATCCATCAGTTATGTCACCAGAACTAGAAGCAGCAAATCAAAATGATCCAAGTAAGTAATTTAAACACAAATCACAGTTTGGAAATAAATACAAAATATTCTTCACATGATTTGGAAGATTTTTTTGAGATATATGTATCTCGAGAGCCCAGCAAGCGACTGAGAGTATCTTGCCCACACAGCAAAGCCTGGCAAGCTACCTGTGACGTATTCGATATGCCAACACAGTAACAACAAGTCTCATGATGGAGACGTTACTGTGCCCGTTCGAGCAAATCGATGAAAAACGGGAGGATGGTACGACAGTGCTACAGTACTATATTCCCTCTCCCAGAAGAGGGAAAAATGATTGTGACCATCTAGGTCAAATGTGATATCTATGATCTTGCTCAGAAAAACAAAAGGGAGAGTGGGTAATTTACTGGCGGCTCTTTCAGGGTCAGGGGAATGAGACCCATTGTATTTACTGGGTAACAAAAGACGCCTGTCTTTGAAAACTCTTTTTTTTTTTTTTTACGTAGGAGTACTACTATTTATTCAGCCACTGATTAGCTGATTGAATTGGGCATGAAGTTCACCTTACTTTGTATTTTCATAATTTTATTTATTTATTTTTTTCTTCTTATATTTATTTATTGAATCACTGTGGGAAAAGTTACTAAGCTTTCAGGTTTAAGTCTTGGTTATACAATGATCAAACACCTCTCCTGTCACCAGGATTGAGCTCATTTGCCAAGGTGGCTTGGCGCAAGCCTCAGGCAACCTCAAGCGAACATCCGAGCTTGCAAAGTAGTGCAGAGAAGTGATAAAGGAAGATCTCAAAGAGAGAAGAGCAGCAGTGCTGGCAGATGCGGCAGAAGCCGGGAAAAGCATTTGCAACGCCTGCCTGTCCTTCGCCAACTACAAGACCAAGATGACTGCCCTCCGACGGCCTGATGGATCAATTTCATCTTCCAGAAGGGCAATGGAGAAGATTATTCATGACTTCTACTCAGATCTCTTCAGTAGCCACATCTACCTGTCCACATACCAAATTCCGCAGGAAGGATATGTCATTCCCAACGTTCTCCCTTCTGAAATCCAATTTTGGATTCACTACCAGGTTCTCACCATTCTACAAGGAAGTGATCATTCATGTCAAGAGAGGTGTTCTTCAGGGTGATACCATTTCACCCAAACTCTTCAGTGCCACCCTCGAGAATGTCATGCGACGACTAGAATGGGAAGAAATGGGAGTGAATATAGATGGTTGGCAACTACACCACCTCTGCTTCGCTGATGACATCATTCTAATAACACCAAACATTAGCCAATCAGCACAAATGCTGGCTGACTTTGACTGTGAGTGTGGAAAGGTTGGACTATAGCTGAATCTCACGAAGACAATGTTTATAGAAATGATCTTATTCCTGACATTCCATTTGCTCTCAATGGAACAAACATCTCCAAATGTAAGTTATGTGTACCTAGGTAGAGAAATTAACATGACAAATGACTTGGCACCTGAGTTGTGCAGGAAGAAGAGAGAGGCTTGGAACGTCTTCAAGAGCATCAAAGAAATAGCTAAGAGGACGAAGAACCTCCAACTCTGAACACATCTCTTTGATTCTACTGTTCTTCTGCATTAGCATATGCCTCAGAGACCTGGACCCTACAAAAACAGATTGAGAACGCTATTCGGGTCTCCCAGAGAGGAATTGAAAGAGCTATGCTTGGAGTATCACATTTCACTCAAATGAGAAAAAGAATCCAGAGTTCCAACCTCCGTTGACGATCAAGAATCAGGTCAAGGCATCGAAAATCAGATGGGCTGGACCTGTAATGAGATGTGGAGATGACCACTGGACTAGAGCCATCACCAACTGGATTCCATGGGATGTCAAAAGATTGTGTAGCTGCCCACCTATGAGGTGGTCAGACTTTTTCATCAAGACCCTGAACGATTTGTTTGAGGCTCTTTGTGTTCCTAGAACGAGCAGACACCATTGGGCTACACTAGCATGTGACAGGGACAAATGGAGATATTACTGGTGCCCACTGGAGCAAATCAATGAGTCAAGTGATCAAGTGACTGGGTAAAGCATGAAATTTATTAATTAATTGTTCTTAAGGTAATGGATAAGTTTGAGGAATGAGCAAATGAAATTAATGGTTCTCAAGGTAATGGGTAAGTTTGAGGAATGAGCAAATGAGCAAATGATTTGAATGAATAAAGACTTCAATTTAAGTTTATAACTTATATTGAAACTTGGAAACTCTAGTTACTGTGGGTATAATCTCTGTATAATAGGAAGAGAGGTATGAAAATTAAATGTCTACTCAAAGGTGTAACTTTAATGATAGAGCTAGTCATAGAGTATGTACAAAAGAGGAGTGATTTCCCGGGCCCGAGGGAACAGAACGGGGAGCAGGGGTTG